GGTAATGAAAACTTGATCATCACACGACCAGATAAAGGCTCCGGAATCGTCTTGAAGAACAAATCAGACTACCTAAGCAAACTCTCGATGATACTATCTGATGAGAAAAAGTTTCAGAAACAGTCTCCACAGATAGATTCCACCGAACAGACGGAGCTCCAGCTAACAAAGATATTGAAGAAAATGAAAGACGAATCCATTGTCAGTTAAAAACTGTACGAACAACTGCGCCCATCTGGTTCTAGAACGCCGCTCATGTAAGGCTTACCTAAAGTGCACAAACAAGACGTCCTACTCCGCCCAATACAAGATATGATAGATTCCTCATATCATACAATTGCGAAATGGCTTGTGGAAATTCTCGGGCCGGTGAGAGAGAGGCCGTCAAGACACAACCTGCGTGACACATTCGACTTTGTTGATTCAATTAAGAATGTCAATGTGGCAGAAAAGAAAATGGTCTCCCTGGATGTTGTCTCTCTCTTCACCAACGTCCCATTGACAGAAACCGTATGTTTCCTCTGCGACTACATTCAATCCAATGGCATCAATGTCGGTATACCGATCAATTACCTGAAAGAACTGTTACTACGATACACCTTCAACGTACACTTTAGTTTCAACAAGGAAATATACAGGCAAGTAGATGGAGTGGCAATGGGTTCCCCCTTAGGACCACTATTAGCCGACTGCTTTTTGGCTAGCTTAGAAAACAACCCCTTATCATCAACTATCAACGACCTTTATCTCTACAAAAGATACATCGATGATACTTCCATTATTTGTGATGAGAATTGTGATTTAAAAAACCTACTTCAAATCTTCAATAGCACTCACCCAAACATCGACTTTACACTTGAGACTGAATCCGACGAAATGTTCCACTTGCTCGACGTCCATCTGACAAGAAACGACAACAAATCTCTGAAAAGGTCCATATACAAAAAGCCTACATGGAATAGACAGTTCATCAACTTTCAAAGCTTCGTGCCCCTAAGCAGAAAGAGGAACCTGATATACACTCTTTCCTCGAGGATTGGGAAGATATGCAGTGAGGAAGTGACTGACGAAGAACTGCGTAATCTCCGAAAAACCCTGAAGGAAAACGGTTTCCCGCCCAGGTTCATAGACAAGAATCTCAAGTCTAAGAATACTTTCGAACAAGTCCAATCCATTCCAAAGAAAATACTTCTGCTTAATCTAGAATTCAAAGGTAATATTGAAGCAGAAATCCTTCGCAGACGCCTCTTCAAATCGCTGAGGAAAACATACTTCGCCGCGAGCCTACGACTCACGTCTTCTTGCAAGAAACTGTTCAGCCAGGACGTGAAAGACAAGCCGACGCATTGGGCCACCTCAACGTGCATATACCAGTTTACTTGCTCTTGTGGAGCTGAGTACATCGGCCGTACCATGCGCCGACTAGAAAAACGCGCTCGCAAACAATACTCAGTCTGGCTAGTAGAAAAGTAGACCAAAAACGTGTATACAGTTCAGTGACAGAACATCTGGTCAATTGAGGACATTCAGCGCCTTTCGAAAAATCCTTCAAAGTAATATACAAGATTTAATCAAACCTATCAAAGGGAGTGAAATCAAGACATCTGAGCATAGCTGAGGCGCTGGCTATCCAAAAGCAAAAACCCACGCTTTGTATCCAAAATACGTCCAACCTCTCTCCCTACCATGGCCATCATAAACAGGTAAAAAATTTTTTTAATAATGACAATCTCATCGCCTTTCTTATCTAAACTTCCTGTTTATGCATGTTATTTTAAGTTTTCTTAATCCCTATCTACACTACCATATTTTCATATCCACACTTCCTGTTTATTTTGTCATTTTACTATTTCTACATATTTAATCCCTGATTGCATAAACAATTATTCATCATATTAGTTTTTTATCCAAACATCCTGTCTATTTTGTTATTTCTACATTTCTAACCCCCAATTGCACAATATCAATCTTCCTAGTTATTATAATGCTACTTTGTTTGAGTTTTATCTGTACCTCTGTTTATTATGGCATAATAATTCCTAATTGTAATTTTTATTAATTTGACCCTTAACCGGAAATTATTCTGGAACTTTCCCATCCATTTGATATAAATGCACGAATGTACAGCCTAGAGGATGACTTCGTCACACAGTGTTACACAGTAATATTAACTGCATCAGTAAAGTCACACATAAAGCAGACGGTTTCTGTGACAGATACATCAGAGAATAATGAAGCCAATATCTAATAAAAGCATGACTTTGTCTGACATACTTGCGCACAATTTCAAATAAATTTCTACCTACTTCTAAGAATATTTACGGAGGAAATGAAGGAAGAAAATTTTGGAGTAGTACTTCAGATGGAAGGATAATGTGTCAGACACCATATTTGAAGACTCTACACAAGCAGGAAATACCTCACCATGATTCTCACTGAAAATTCTGTACGGATTCTAAATGCGTCTCTTGAAATAAAGCCGTTACCATTGCAGTGATATACTATAAAACAGTATTTGGAAATCACTCATGTCAAATCATTCTTGATTGACAGTCCATTCAATGGGATTTCTGCACACTGGTTGTTAGTGTTTTTCTTCTGGGGAAAGAATCATTTCTCACATAGAGAAACTATATCAAATAGTATATTAGATTAGTTTGTAGACACAAACTGTGCAATCAGTCTTAGTAATTAATGTATCAACAATAAGGGCAGTCACTTTCAGCCAACTATTGGGTAACCTAGCCAATGTCTCAATGGAAATGTCCCATCAATTTTTGTAAAGGACTGATAAAAAACATCCGAATTCAGTTCTGCAGTGTTTAATTGCTGGTGGTGACCAAGTGGTTATCAAAACTGATTCATCGTTTCCCATTACAACTTCCCAAATGTAAGTGAAGCGAGTGACTTTTCAACTAGTAAGGCCCAACTATCCCTTCTAGAATAAGTTACAGTTATAGCCATTACTCCTGTCTTGACACTTACTCGACCGCGTATACCACCACCAAGAGAAACACACATCGAATGCTTTTGGCCCCAAGATTTTGAATATCTCTTCCTCAGTCACATCTTTCACATTCACTAATTAGCTCCTTCACAATCTAGCATTAGGTTATCTGAAAACCTGTTTCCGTCAGGTCAGATTTACTGAGATTATAGAAAAACATTTGTTTGTGTCATCAATGTCACACTTCATTATCCTCGTTATCACAAATTACTCCGTGTTCAACTTTCAACTTTCATATCAGTAGAATTATTACTATTGTTCTTACCATCTTGACTAATTGAGAAATCTATATTCATAAACTTGTCATATAATCAACGAATCGACGTGACTGGTTCACGCTCAATATTTAATAATAAAGTTATGCGTAAAATAATAAAGTATGAAAACAACATCAATATTATTCATTTAACTCACTGTGGACTTTCCCGTTGATTTGTTTGCACCAAAGTGTTCCGCTTCTCTGGTTGATATGTCGACTCCTGGTGTGCATGCTTCGACGATGCCTGATTATTTTATCTGAAGCCAACTGGTGGGCGGTGACTGGTAGTAGAATCCAGGATATATAAAAAGCAATTCCCGTTGCACGAGAAAGAGGTGGCTCCCGTGGTCCAAATGATCCATTTAGTGGATAAGGCTTTGGTGTTTGTAGGGTTGAGTATTTGGTTCGATCCATACAAGGTACACCATTACTTATTGGTGAATGTGGACATTTTGATCTCTTCCCCATGTAAACACAGTGAAGGCAAAGGAAATTTTAATCTTCCAATGTTAAAAATCGAAATTCTGTATTAAGTCTAACACTTAAATTTTTTACAAACGAATTTATTGTACCTTTATTCATATTCTGTCATCTTCTTCTAACTTGTACATGATCAAATCACTCGTGCCTTCAAGTTGCCTGCAAATGTCGACAAATGGCAATAATCAAACATTCAGAGTTCGTAATTATTGGCAGATGTCGTCGATGTACGTGAATATAATTCACTGAAACCCATGTGATCTGACTTCCCAAACCATGATGGATTGCCTAGAATTCATAATGTTGGGCATCAATTACATCCAATTCTATCAATGTGTCACTCAATTTTGTTTAGTTTATTACACTTTTTGGCACCTCCTATTGCCATTATCTTCCGCAGTAGTATTTTTTATCCTCTCCATTCTGTAACATTTGAATTCGGCAGTTGTATAGAGGTAATATGGATAATGGAATATTCGACAATGATGACATAAGTAACTAAACCAGGTAATTTATTTTCTGTTTTCAACCTTATCCGAGAGAATGCTAGTATGATATTTGTGATACAGTGAGTGACATGTCATTTCGTATATTGATTAGTTAGGTATGTACTTATGTGATCTATGGAAAGCATACGAATTGTTAAAAATATCTCAAATTGTTTTTACTCTGTACGGATATGTAGAAAATCATTGAGTTGTTAGTAACGACAGTGAGCTGTGTCTGCTGCACGATACCTTACTTGCCTTACTATTCGTAGTGTAACCAATCACATTCTCTCACATAAGGATCAAAGTTCACTCACACTTACCTTTGTCTCAATAAATCACAATAAATATATTATGCACACTCTGTTGCTCATATCGATTAGCACGACAAAGAATATAAATATATATATTATAAATACGTCGAAGTCAACGCCCACCACATAACGCGACACAGATGGAATCAGGTAAATTCATCACTGGATTACTATTGACAGCTTTCTGTGTTCCTTGTGATTTTGAGTTATCTGTCAAGTGAGTATGTTTTGTTATGTCTTCAAGATTCCGTGTGTTGATTCCTCCCTTATTGAGACACATTTGTGATGAAACATTGGAGAAATTATTTAATTTGTCTTTATCTAATCAGTAAACTTCAACTTGAGATTTGACTGTAGACATTGTAGTTATGAGTCACCATTAAAAACACACACAAACAAACACAGTCTTAAATATTCTATATGACTGCCATCTTATAATTTATGCATTTTAACAGAATTATCAGAGAAGATGACGAATTTGAAAACTGCAGGTAGATCAAGAATGCTAAATCGTGAATTTGAAAAATCAGACAAATTCCCGAAAAGAGTGAGTCCCTTTTACACCTATGAAGGTAACACTTAATTGTAGGTTATAGTGTTTCTTGTTGTGATGTGCTTTATCACACTGGGGATAACAATCGGTCTGGCGTTCATGTATGTCAATATATACCAATTATTAATCAATAATTTATTACATTTCAGACCTAAGAAAGAATATCAATTACTGATTGCACTTTTATATCTCGTATCGTGCGTTCTCAATACAAATGATATAATTGAGTTTGTCAAATTATTTTAAATTATATTTGTATATATATATATATATTTATATATCTATATATATGTGCATATATATAATATATTTTATACACTGCCTATATTTGATAAGACATTTTATATGTAATTATCACAGTCATTCTCAGGTTCTCATCACGTAATCGTCCATGATTTTAAAAAGATGAGTCGTGAGATGTGTTCAACTATGACATCTGAGGGTGGAATATTATTATGTTACGTTGACAGAGAAGATAGGAGTAATGTATGTCGACGTTTTCTCGACAGAATACGACATGCATTCAAAACACATTCTATCGATTTGTCTAGTCCACTTCCAGAAGCTTCACCGAAGTCGAGAGTATCACATCTCACCATACTTAGTCACTTATTCGGAACCACCAACTTATGTGTGCCTCAGCGCATTATTTTGTGTTGTGGTGTGGTGTACAAATCTCTTTTAGAAGTGGTCTGACAGAATAGGATGTCAACTGTGATATGTGTGAGAAGCATATGTTGACTCTTCTACCAGAATATTAGTAGCATCACATGTTTTTTTCATTTAAGTTATCCAACTTCCAAACGTAAATAAAGACAATGGAAAGAAGCGAAGAATTCTCCTCAAGCACATTTCATCATTCAGACATTTCAGTGTCACTCGATCAGTCACAATCTAGTTCACAGGATATTCTCCTTCAATAAATTAAGTGTGCTCTGTAGAAGCAAATACTTGCAATTTCAAGTATCTTGTTTGTATTTTACAACGACTTCGTCAGACTACAATGAGATTTGCGTTGAAATGTGAACGATTCCCAAACAAGTGTAGCATGGCATAGTGGAATCAAGGCAGAATAATTCATACCATTGATCTGTTTGCAAACTTATTTAATTTACGGGTTTTCTGAATAAAATTCACATCATTCAGCGATGCCTAATCTATGCGATTGACGATATTGGTATCATTATTCTGCTTTACATTTCAGGGCGATTATTGAAGTCGTGGTAGTTTGTGTGCTGATGATATACGACAGAATAAGAAACCGATTTCCTGCGAATTTCTTTTTGGCGCTTTTACATGTAAGAATTCGATCTGTTTATCATTCATGCGTATATTTAAATATCAGTTGTGTCAGTTTACCATAATTTGGAACACTGAATCATTCTTAAAAGACGGAGAGAAACTGTAGAACAACAACTACGGAAGAGCCTGATACTGAGTAGTAGTGATGCATTAATGACCGTGATACTTAATCGACGAAGGATTCTGCAGCAAGCGTGAACAAACTCAAGCCTGATGATGGAATTTTAAACATTCTCAAAATAAATAACGAAAGAAGATGCTTGTTGTTCAATTTTCAATCTATTTCTGGAGAATATTCATTTTGACATTTCTAATGGAGCGATATTTGTTTTCAATAAGGTTGATTAGATAAGGCTTACATCATTAAAATAATCTTAGTCCGTACTGGTGTGTAGAGAATGGTTTAGCTTCGAATACGAATAATGAAAGTGTGTTGGAAAATGCTCTTCAACGCAACAAAATGAAGTAAAACTCCTTAGAATACGAGTTATGATTTACATGTTTTTACATTGAATCACTCTTAGGCCTATTCACTTACACTATAAAGTCATTTATGAGACTATCAGAATGTCTATTTATTGTAAAGCAACTTCGATTGTTTGATTTTCTATTTTGTAGTCCGCTTGCCTGACCGCATTAACAGAATTCGGATTCATTGGGAAAGACTACAAACTGGTACTCATTGTGATGGCAATAGCTGTTGTGCTCTACATCATATGCATATCGATAGGTGCGACCATGCGAAGTGAACTTCAATTATTTTCCCCGAGAATACTGACAGGCTATGTTGTCTTGGCAATCGTAATCGCTGTCGCTACACTTGCAGTCCGCTTTTCTACCAGAAAGGTAAATGCGTTGCGAAAATGAATATTTTTTTATATTTTTTATAAGGAAAATCTCTTGCGTTTCAAATGTCGGAAAACCCATAATCTTACACATTCAGTCACTAGTTCAACTAAATCATTTACATGAATGTAAGAGATTCAGAGTGACATTTGAACCATTGTCCATTGATGCAAATATTTTATTTTACAAGAGAATGTATATATGTATGTAGTATTTCAAATGCATATAATTTCGTATAATTTAAATTTATGTATCACTTTTCTTTAAAATAAGTGTCAATGGTCATTGCCTATTCTTGCCGCGGGTATGACTGTTATATTGATTCCTGTAAGTCCTCATTTCTTGTATTTATGTATGAAACTTGCTTAAACTTGTTTTATCACTGACCATACACACGTAATCACTTAGTGGCTCATGTAGAGATGGATTTGTACAGCCATCGCCTACAAGGAATTCTATTCCATAGTCAATGAAATATGTGCGATGAACTCATTTACACTTTACACTGCAGCAAATGATGTATTCTTAGGCCGTTTGTCTCCTAGTGAAATGCGGGGCATCAACAACACATTTCCATCTCTTCATGCTCTGTGAAGTAATTTCTAGCTCCATTGTGCATTAAAAGCATTGCACGCATCAACACACAATCATACAATAGAATGGGGCGCGAGGTTGAAATTATAATAGGTAATATAGGTAGGTGGAGAGAGTGATTGATTCCTGAATCTTGGTTGTTCGAGTCTACTCCTAACACGTATGATGGGATGCAATGACCCCCCACTCATAACAGAAATATAGGAATCTTTACTGTCAATCAAATCAAGAGATGAGAAATAGCGGGAAAGTAGAAAAGTTGTGTGAGTGAATTGATATGATTGTGTGCAGTAGTAAATTGTGCTCGGAATGTGGTCAACAGTTTACATTACTGTATAACACTGCGTGACTGTATCAAAATAAATTTCACCCATAATGAAGTTATACTCGATGGATAGCCCGGAAGATGGTGTGACTCACTGGTATCAGAAACACAGGATATGTCCAGTTCATCTGATTTTCCTACTGCATATTTGCCATGAGATAGACATTCAGCTGGTTTTGCTGCCCACCAGAGTTTCTCGTTAATTACTATCTTCACTATGGCGCTAGCGAAAGAAGCTAACAATAAAACTCTGCATCTCATTGGAAATGCCTTCGATGACACAACAATTCCGTGGACGGTGGGAAAGCGCTTATTTTCAATGATTGTTGAAGATCCAGATCTAGTTGCTTATGTTCGCTCGTAGGTGGTGATTTCCAGCCACCATGGAAAATAAATTAATATAATTACACTACGTTTGTCAAGACGTTTTAGTAGGCTCATATTTTCTATTATCATTCGTCTTTATTAGTTCGCCTTATTCATGGGTCAGATTACACTTGGCCTACGTGAATTCAGAGGATTCGATCCAGATTACTGTACGGCTTCAATGGCTGCACATGTGATTCTTCTCCTTTTTCTGGTTATGGTCAGCATTGGAATCATGTGTCCAGAGGAAAAAGTTTAACAGACGTTAGGCTTGCTTCAACCGATCGCGTGCTTTTCAAAGTAGATTCAATACAGTACGAATATACACACTTTACTTTAGTTTCCAAACACTTTTTATACTACCATGTTCATAACTTGCAACTGAAATGAATAAACACATTTTTGTTAATGAAAAGAAATACTTCTGAAATTATACTGTTATTTTCAAGACTATGACTGTAGATTACAGTGAAAACGATTGGTTTGAGCAACACTGTCATTTTCACCTACCTTTTGTATTTTCTCTTTGGTGAATGCCAACCATGCAAGATTGACCTGCTCACTTTGTCAGAAGGTAACGTTGTGATGGTCAAAAACGTGGAGAGATGATGCTTTTAGTAGTACACTGATGTTAATTTATTATAGGTACTGAGTAGGTTTCAAAAATATGCGATGAAAGTATGACGGTGAATTTGTTATAAAAGTTGAGCATAAGATTTGCTAGCGAGAATTACTCCAAGAACCACTGATATTGCGAATCTGCAAACCAGTGCGTGCGAATCAAGTCTGGTGAGTGTGTAGACATTAGTGCACAACTTACTCTGTAAATATTTTCTAGAATCTTCAGTGATTACAACGACCTGCAACTGGAACTGGCATACTCTGCAGTATGTAAGAGGATGGATGATATAAGCAGTTGACTGACGCAACAGAGACTATATGATGGATTCCAGTGTTTACTGATTACTATAAATTCAGAAAACTGATACAATTGCTGGTCTTCTCTGATTTCTTAGAAAGCCGACATGTTCCACAGACTTTACGAATTTAGCAGTATGAATGCAAAGTGAATGTAATTCATGCATATATGAACTTCAACCGATTCAGTCTTTAGGAAGCAATGTACACTGAAATCAGTAACGTCAAAATGCAGTTGAATAGATCGTAGTTCATCTCGGATTCCCACTGAGTTAGGCGAAGCAATTACACACAAAGGTGAACAATTCTGTTTTCATTTTGATCTATCTCTCATTGTACTCTAATATGAGCAGATTCGAAGTTGAATTAATGCTGTTGATTTGCAAATCAGCGAAAGGTGTTTAAACAGCTCAGATTATTCAGAAACTGCGTTGATAGTCATATTCACAATGACGAAACTGCAGGTAGTTAGCACAAATGGTCCTCGAGAATGATGAAGATAGTATATCACAATGTGAAAATTTCAGTAATCAAATTACGCTTTTTATTCAAGTGTAGAATTTATTCCCTCTATTATAATGAGTGTATATGAAATCAAAATGAACAAAGAGAATTAACCATGTTTGACTGTAAACTAAGACGACCAGAAGAAGGTGAACTGTGCACTGACGTTTGTTGAAAGCTCACGCAGTCGAATAAACATTTGGACTTTAATTCATCTCATCCCTTATCTGTAAACGCAGGCTTAGTTAAGTGTGTCTAACAGGCTGAGCAGTAACACCAAGTAGTATATCAGGATACCTAAATGATGAAGTGAAACAGAAAGAGAAGCATTGATGTTTAATGAGTGTACCATAAAATTCATCATCAAGATTTGACATTTTCACAAGGAAGGAGAAGAATAATGAAAATAGTAGCCATAATACATCAAAGAGAGAGAGAATTTAAGGCATCTTCAGATCTACCATACCAGCGAGGAATATTCTTAAAAGAATGGGAATTCAGGTGGTATTTAAATCGAGAATCTCACTGTGGGACACGATGTGCAGATTAAAGGACTCAATTAACCCAACTAGACAAAGTAATGAAATTTACAAAATGCGTTACAATGACTGTGGGTGAGGTCAAACATTTGCGTGAAACCAATAGATGGGGAGAAGTCATATTGAAAATCAAAACAAATGATTCAGCGAAGAGACTCTTTTCAACGAATTTATCATCAAGCTGTACAGTCGTATATATATGGTTTTTAAGAATTTATATCCGGTGAGGGAATTGAAACATAGGTGTGAATGCATGAAATAATAATAATATGAAGTGCAATTAAAACTAAAATGTTTGTGATTATAATCGTAGTTAAATGTCAAGTGGCAAAGCAAATTAATGTCATATATAGAATAATTCATAGGATGGATAGAACTTGAAAAAGGTGTGCAATTATGAGATTAGTAGACAAATCGAAAAATTAAAAACGTTACGTAATATTGTGTGAAATTTAATAGCATAGAATTTAATGTTGCATAAAGGAATTGATTTAGAATGACAAGTGGAACAAGTGAAATAATACCGGGGACAATTAAAAGTGAGAGTAGTAGTAGTAGTAACAATTGACTTAATAAGGAAGAGTATACAAATTGAATAGACAAAAATGAAAAAATGAAGAATTGGTAGAGCTAAAATATGATTGGGGATTACCATACTTTAGCATAGAGGGATTAAGACCATGAAAGTTGGAGGGGTTGAATGAACTTTTTCTGTACACAGAGATCTGGCTTTTCTGTTTCGATAGCCAAAGCTTCAGCAATACAGATGAGTCGGGTACGTAGGGATTTGGGTAGATTACTGTTTGCCTTGTAGATGACTTTGAAGGCGAAGGCAATAGAGATAGGGTGATCATTATCGACCAGATGTTCAATGATCGTAACCATGCAGGATAATGTTCTTGCACCCTCTTGGACAAAACTCGTGTCGAACGACCGATATACCCAGCTCCACACGAGCAGGTGAATTGATAAACCCACATAGAGTTGGTCAACAGCGGGATCTTGTCCTTCAGGTTATTGAACAATAATGGTCCACTAGAAAAGGCTATTCTCAGGGATGCAGCAGGGAATGTTCTTTTCAGGGATTGTGATATGCTCCGTTTCATGATATCGGAAGCTAAGTCTTCAGATATGTTTCAAATAAGTTGAGGGAAGAGAGAATGAAAAACGACTAAAACGTGCGTCATCCTAAAGAATATCAACAGTTCTGGTCGGTGGTACATTAGTTAACAAGGAATTAACATCCGAAAAACAATAGACAAATTCAGCGAAGAAAATTTTCTTTATCGACCAGATCATCTTCGGAGTTTGTACAGTGGTATTAACACTTTACAAAAATGTATAATGATCTATTATTGAATAATAAGGGATGACTTAATTGATACGAATTACTCGGAAGTGGCTTCTGAAGTAAAAATTAAAAGTTGTAAATTACCTGTACTCAACGGAACAAAGGTAGAAATTTGAAAAGGTTAAAATTGCTATTGAGTGAGTGAGAATAAAGGTAGTTGGGTGTCAATTTGACAAGTGTGAAGAGGGTGTGAAAAAGTACACAAGGTGCATATGGCAGTGATAATAGTGAGTTAATTATTAAAGCAAAAGCAAACTAAAAGTCAAATTAAAAGAAAAGAAAAAGTTAAAATTTTTTGTTTTGTTTTTACGGGGAATGATTAATGAAGAAGTTAAGATGAAGGTAGAATAAGAGACTGGACCAACGTTTTCTGCATACAGAGTTCGAGGTTTCATTGAAGAATTGACTGCGCCTCCACCATACACATACACGTGGCCTGAGTTCACCAAGTGTTCGAGAATTGCATTGCATTGTCCTTCAGAGATGCGCCTGGAAAGTGAATTTATAAACACACATTAAGGTGGCTCAAAGCAGCAGTTTATCCTTCACACATCCATTGATCATTTGTCGGCTGTAGAAATTGGTATGTAGCTCAGCCATAAAGAAGACTTTCCTCAGTGATCAGTATAAGCGATTCTGAGCTGCGATATCACCCTTAAGTTCAACTCTCATAAATAGCAGTTTCTTCATCACCATCTGGGTACTTTCAGGCTTCTTTTTGACAAATCTAGGAGGATATCCATTCTCGATGAAGACTTGTCTGAGTCGCCTTAGTTTTTCGATCGACCGTATCACTGAAACATATCATTCTTATTCTTGAAATTAAGGAGTGGATCAGTCTTCGGCTTCCTCTTAAACGGACCTAAATATGGAAATGTGTGGACTGAACATTCCATGCTGGTATCCTGTAGATTAACTGTTATCACTCTCAAATACTCCTTCTGTACATTTTCACACCCTCTTCACAGTTGTCAAATTGACACTCAACTACCTTTATTCTCACTCATTCAATAGCAATTTTAACCTTATCACATTTCTATCTTTGTTCCGTTGAGTACATGTAATTTACAACTTTTAATTTTTACTTCAGAAGCCACTTCCGAGTAATTCCATTATGGGTGAATTTTATTTTTTGGCCAAAAACAAAATAAAAATAATTATGGAACTAGTAATGATAACATAAATAAGAGAGAATATAAGTCATCCACTGTTATACCATATAAGGAGGGGACATCTGAGACCCTACGTAGGATTCTGAATAAGGCAGGAATTAGAGTAGCATTTAAACCTACAAACTCACTCAGGGACAAGCTCTGTAGGTTAAAGGACCCAGTGGACCCAATTAGACAAAATAATATAATTTACAAAATACCCTGCAATGACTGTGAGGTCAACTACATAGGTCAAACTAGTAGGTCACGGGTAGTCAGATTATCAAAACATAAGAATTTAGCTACGGTAAGAATGGTTGACCCAGAGAAGATAAGTAATTTAGAAAAAAGCTCGGCAATTGCATTGCATGCATTAACACACAACCACACAATAGGGTGGGAGAGGGTTAAAATTCTAAATAGTATTCTAGGTAGGTGGAGAGAGAGGTTGATTACTGAATCCTTGTTCATCGAATCTACACCGAACACATGCAATAGGAATGATTCATCACTTATACCCAAAATATGGAAAATATTACTACCAATCAAATCAAGTGAAAATCAAGTGAAAAACAATGGAACTATATAAATGAATTTAGGAAGTCGTGTGATTACCTTGATATGATTATGAGCAATAAATTGTGCTCGAAACGTCATCAGTAAATATTACTGTATAACACTGTGAGACTCTATCAAAATAAAATTTACCCATAATGGAATTACACCCTACCACAGTGCCCAAGTTTTATTCTTACACTTCCGAGTAATTTACATCAATTATGCCAACCCCTATTATTCAATAATAGATCATTATACAATATTGTTAGGTATAAATATCACTGTACGCCTCTGAATATAATTTCTTCGCTGAAGTTGTCTTTTATTTTCTTCATGACTCAATGTGTATTGTCTCTGATCCAAAAAATACATTTTCCTATCTTTC